ATGTTACGCGGTTATAAAAAGTTAAAAAACACATTGATTTCTTAGACTGTCGCGAGTTTTTGTTCGTGTGGCGAATCATGCGTTGAGGGAGTTCATGCAGCTCTAGATGTTTTGGATACCCTAGCTGTCTACGTTGAGGAACGGGTCGTAACGCTGCCGGCGGCACGGGAGCGATTTTTTCTCGTAGCTTCCAAAATTTTCGCTCTCGTAATTGTTGTTACCAGAGCGCTTTGAAAGCTGACGGGAGCGAAATCGCTCGCCGCTCCCGTGTATTTTTTTCGCTGCTAGTCAGTAACTAGCCCGACCTAGTGTCTAGGTCCTCCAACCCCAGCAGTAGCAAGACCATTTCTTGGAGCTAGTCAGTAACTAGTCTATACTCACAGGCACTTGGAACACCTCAATAAAAAAAAAGGTAAATAAACACGAAATGTACCAAAGTCTTAATGTTTCTCTACTCTATTTCGCCTATAATCACCTGTAAATGCCGGTCAAATGCTCATCTGCAACACACAAGTACACCGAACGCCCGCCCGCGCTGTGCTGCGTGCACAAACAACATGAATAAGAGAGCAGGTAGGAAAGCGTGATCGCAAAATTCGCTCAACGCTCGCTTTATTTCACACGATCACAGCACAAATACACATCCAACCGCTTCCATCTTGGTATCTATGTGTACATAAATGTTCACTTGTTCGAATTATAATTAACTCTGCCCTTTGTCCTTACCTACTCCCGCCATAGATATCTTGTGAAATCCTACAGGAAATGTTCTCTCCGTGAAAATGTAAAGAGGACGACATGATCCGAAAACCCCTAACGGCGCTACTTTCGATCGATCACTGTAGTTGTGTGTGCGTGACGTCATGCCCGCGCGCATTGTGCTTGGCTTGGCGGGCCTCAAAACGGAGCTCGGAGGCCGGCAGCAGCTCATCCCGGCATGCAATGCGCCCCATTACTCGTGTATAAACAGTCATCTCGTCCTCTTTACATTTTCACGGAGAGAACATTTCCTGCACTGCAGGATTGTGAATTTGTGTGTTGCAGATGAGCATTTGATCGGCATTTACAGGTGATTATAGGCGAAATAGAGTAGAGAAACATTAAGACTTTGGTACATTTCGTGTTTATTTACCATTATTTTTTTTTATTGAGACGTTCCAAGTGCCTGTGTCTATACTCATGAGTCGACATAGTCATAATAATACTGTACGGTATTCTGTAACATTCACGTGACATTGCCATTGTTGGTAACTTATTGCACATCATACATGCACATGACACACGGAACTTACCGTTATCAGACATATCCACTGAGTTGGCTAAGGGTGCAAAGCCTGTTCGACGGTAAATCACCTCTGAATTTTGAACTCAATAAAAATATACAGCTTGTATAAATGTAAACAAAGTAACAACATACATAAACTTTTACTGATTTAGGATTTCCCGCGAATTAGTGATTATTTCGCCATCTAGTGGGGAGTAACAAGTGAGCATCGTAAACAAATGCAAAAGATACCGGAGAAAGTTCGTAACTAGAAAGTTAAAGTGGGTAGGGAAAAAAGCATCTGTAGGTTTAAATGGTGAGAAGTCGAACTTTCATCCGGTCACGAACAGAGAGGTGGGTAATTTTAATCAGAATTTTAGACACTTCTCGTCGTATATACTTGTAATTTTAAGATATGACGTGGTCATGATATGAAACCATCAAAATGTAATCAGCCAAAATGCCCGTGGAATTTCTTAAAATGGTGCGCTAAAACGTGCTAGCACTTGTCATATCTAATTACGAGAGATCTATAAATAGTCCATGTGCTATACCGAAATCGTTAGAATAAATTGGGAAGTACGTTTTCGTTATTTATTTAATCTGATTCGATCAAAGATGTCGAAATAGCAAAAGATAGGGTGAGAAAGACTAAGAGGGAGGGAGCGAGAGAGAGAGAGAGAGAGAGAGAGAGAGAGAGAGAGAGAGAGAGATGGGGGAGAGAAAGAGAGAAAGAGAAAGGGTGAGAGGGATGTTGTGTGGTGTGTGTTGTGTGTGGTGTGTGTGTGTGTGTGCCATTTGTGGTGGTGTGTGTGTGTTGTGTGTGTCACTCGGTTGGCTGACCGGTTTCGTTGTACTCTTGTTTAATTATTGTTATAGTTTTTTCCAATTAACTTCTCGAATCATCCGAAATGATTCGAAATTCCCTCAAATCGTAGTGGTAGTAAATTGCTTTATTATGAATTCTTTCATATGTTGGCTACGGCAACGTGTTTAGAGTTGTGTCAGGATCTTCTCCTACTCTCTGTGATAAGGTTTCAATCTTCAATTAGATCTATCAGACTATCACGCAATGTTATCTCAATTTCGTCGACTTCAGATGAAGAGGATATTACCTATAATTGCACTATGATGAATTTACCGGTTGTGAGATGAAATTTCTAAAATGCGCTTGTTACTCTTTGTAATTCATTAATTATTTATGTTATAATATATTAATATGAGTTAGTTTCATTCCCAATCACACAAGTGAAACCTATTGATTTCTACTGGTTCGCCGGTCTGCTTTACTTAAACGGCATATGATCAGTACATGCTGCCATTACTTAATTAAATATATTTATGTGCCATTTCACTCTGTATTGCATTTAATCTTGACCATGAACGACACCCATCTGCAACGATATTGTGTATAACATATAACATTTACTTACCCACGAAACGAAGATGGCTTCTGCATCGGACTTCAGCTCCCGGCTGATGTCACCGTCATGCGCACATAATTGCACGGAAACTATACAGTTTTTTGCAGGTGTGAATGTTGAATTTTTATCAATAAAAAAATACGTCTGCTTAACTTCGTCTGTTCTCTGTCTAGCTGTCAACATCGGAGATGAGAGGTTGGCTGTACAATTGTAGATTCGGATCTGTTTCATGATGAATGTTTTTTTCGGCTTCTGTTGCATTGTGGCCCGCCCAACTCATGGGTTTTATCATCATTCGATCTAAAGCTTGACATATGTCGATGACACGATTGCTAACACGTTGTATGATTCGACCTTCGATTGCTGAAACTAAATAACCTCTTTTGCACAGATTTATTAAATGTTCAATTTTCTCTACGAAGCTGGATGGATGAATCTTTAGGCTCTTTTGCAATAATATATAATAACAACATGAATATATTATATATATGTATATTAGATGGTTATATATATATACTATTATATATATATTATATATGTGTGTGTGTGTGTGCTGTGTGTGTGTGTGCTGTGGATTCGAATTCTTACCGTTTCTGTTTCTTGTATCTGTTTTCTATTCTGTGTTATTTTTTCTAACAATCACTTCGATCGCCGAGCATGAATCCGAATTCCTATAATTTGAAGGTAAGTCATGTAGTATAATGGCTTTAGGATTCTCTCATACGTGGCGTAGCAACGATGTTAGCATTGTGTGGCTTCTTCTCACATCTCTGTATGACAGAGTTTTCTTCCGATAGATCGATTCAATGACATTCGGCAGATGATATGGTGCAAATCTCCGTTTGATTAATTGCAAGAGAATTAATTTGTGTTCATATTGGCTTAAGGGAGACAATTTACCCGGATTGTTGGATAATTATACTGCTCACTGATGTGATATAAAATCGGTTATTAATTATTTTAACACTTGCTAATTCAATTATTATTTGTGTATGTACATATATTTAATAGCAGCTCGATTTTAAGTCATCCAAAGTGAACTTTCTAATGTTTCTATACTGGTTTCTGCGCTCATGTTTCACAATTAAACACGGTTCATTACCATATCTGAGTTCACCATTCAATATATTATCGCGTTACGGTAATGCATAGGTTCATAAATTGACAAATGGTTCATTCATAAGATATTTATATATATGAACATGGTCTTGCACCTTTTGTAACGGGATACGTTATACTGCTACCGATATAAGGCGTTGGGAAAACTTTCACCAATGACTATAACTGGTTAACACCGCACACACGTCGCGCCCGCATCACCGATGCTCGCGCGCACATCGCAAACTTTCTCTCTTTCGTTCTCATTCTGGCTTTCTCGTACATCCTCTCTAGATCCCGTAACTTTCTCGAGTTATGTCCGGTAGGGGCCGTCTCATAATTTTTACGGTCTTGCACTCGCTCCTCAGTCCGGTAGTTTTTCCTGTTGTATTCTTCTTAATCATTGCCAGACAGCTTATATATTATATAGTTAAAAATAAATATTATATATTTAATATATATTATCATTAGTTAATATTTATCTATGATTTAGTCTATATTAATATTAATAAAGGACTGCTGTAAGTACATCATACACAACACACATACACACACACACACGCACACAACGCACACACACAACACACACACACACACCCAACACACAGCTCTACACACACACACACACGCGCGCGCAAACACACACAAACACGCACACACCAAAACATCCTAACACACCACACACACAACACCCACACTCGCCGCACACACAAGCTGGCTTCTTAGCCGCGGCTTTTAGTTAACCGGCTGGCCTAATTCTTTGGTAGGGCCAGTTTGAATCGGGGCCAGCGCGTATTTGGAGCGGGATGTGTAGTGGCCCTAGGAGTAGCCGCCTTAAGTAATCTATGGGCGGATCTAGAGGGCGGTCAGGTTGGTTCCGGACCCTTTTTACTCCCCCCCCCCTGAAAAATGGAAACACATAATAGATTAATTTCAAGAGCCCATTAACCCCCTGGTGTTAATGGGCTCTTGATAATTGTGCTAAAAATTTGGAGGAATTCCAGTCTTGATTCTAGACAGGTCAAAATTACTGCTTCAGATGCTCTCAGAATGCACCAATTTTTAAAAATTTTGGTGGAGGCTTCCCCTCTTAGTGGATAACGCCTCGCATAAGGCTGCTCTTCGGCACACTTTTTAAACACCGAGAAAAATTAAGTAAGAAGAAGTCGCCTTATATTTCTTACCCTGGACCCCCTTTTCAAAAAGCTGGATCCCCGCTATGTGAATTATAAGTGCTTTTGAATTGCAATAGTATATTTCGCAGCTTTTCCCCTCTTATAGAGTGAGCAAACCATGACAGGAAAACATGAGGTGGCCAAAGCCGAGGTTCCCCGTGTAGCGTGATGAGGATCCGTACGATGGTTACCAAGGCCAGGAGACCAAACAAAGAAGATTATATAAACGTGAACTAGATATCGATACTGAAACCCAATTCATAAAATAAAAGGCCATGAGTTTAAAGGTATACGTAAATCCAGCGATATGTTTTAGATTTATCGTGTACTTGCGCTCCGGCTGACACCTAACTTTTGGTGTAATGGATGGCCTATGTGCAAAAAACACTCACTCAAGTGTTAGTTTAATTGTGTATGCCGTCGACTTAAAAGTTGTTAACCAGTGACATTGCTTACAGCGTATCACTCAGGTATATATCCGCCGATTCAATATTTTGCCAGTAATGACAGGCAAGCGTTCCAATTGTTATGCTGCCGCCGGCTTTGTAACAGCTCTTCATTCATGGTTATAAAGATATATATATATAACATACATAAATTTATAGGATCAGGATTCATAATTTAATCACGGTATAAATATAGTGAAAAATTACTTGTGAGGCCTCGGTGAAAAAGTTTAACCGAAAAATATGCTGCCCCAGAGTATCGGACAGCGAATTACGATGAAATTTTAAAACGACAATGCGACTCGACATCCTCGCTTCAATGCTAATAAATCTTCATCGTCGCGGAAAACATTGGTAGCCCCAAAACCAACACGCGCCGCTGACCACAATGGTACGATCAGGACTAGCTTTTGGACTCCGCAATATGCCGTGCTTCGCGATGTGTGCTAAGCTAATCGCAGGCTTGCTAAACTGGGCTCTGCGCCTCATGAGGACGTATTCGCCTGGCATGAGGAAGGCTGCGTTGCCGTGGCGCATACATCGGCTCCGGCAGCCGCGCTCGCTCGGCGCTTGGCCGTTGCTCATCTCTCGAGGCCCTGCTGCCGCAGTCTTGCTCGAACCGCGCAGCGACGTCAGCGCCCCCTGTTCGCACAGCGCATCACGCGGCGGCTTTCGTCAGACACGGAATTTTCAGGCTGAAATGCTGAAGAAGGCGGGAAGCTGTTGGTGGTGCGGTCTCTGTAAAGTGTTTTGGACGTCAATATGGTAAAATTGAGGAAAGACGTGAGGATTGCTTTATTAACTCTCTCTCTCGCTCATGATTCATTCTCTCTCTGATGTGGTCTCCCTC